AATTGGTCTAAATAACCAATTGGAAGATGGCATCTTCTTTTTGTGGGTGCTGCTCCTACATAGAACGTATGTCAGTTGAATCCAATACAGCATGTTACTGTAGAACGGAGACCCTGTGCTCTGACATCATGTACAGCATGTTACTGTAGAGCCACTCTGTTCCAACTTAAGCGCTTATCAGTGACCAATCTGCCATTTTCAACCTGTTTACGGGATGAAGTGTAAAGGGTAAAAAAATGTTTTAATGAACTTAGCTACAGTATTGCTTAGCTAAATGAGCTCAATCTCTTGGCTAAATGACTCAATCTCGCTTCAGATTGACTCCCTGAAAACTGAACTGAAGTAGGCAACCTGTAGTAGGTCCTTGAAAAATGCAAAGAATATCGGAGCGCAACCATTCTCAAACAATCATTTGCTAGCCAATGACATAAAATAACAATTAGACCAGACGTTTGCCTGGTACATCTGGACAGTACGACTGGTACCAGGAGATAAACGTGTGGCCCAGTGAAAACGATTTTGTCGTCCAAGAGAAAGAAAGAATCCACCTCATCTGTCATAAGAAAAGATGGAAGAGGAAAGGTGTTGTGGTACAGGACTCTATGATTAAATGTCTCTATGGTGGAAAGTGTAAGCATCTCAAAGACACAACAATGCCTCTGTATGTTCTGTGGTCCAACATGCGCAGAAAGGGTTGAAAATCGGATCAACTTTGCAGCTATAGAAGCCGAAACTGATTTTATCGGAATTGAATTTCTCCTTCTTTGCCACTGCAGAAAGAGGAAGTAATCAAGACAGAAGAGTTTTGTTGACATGCTGAGAATGGAATTGATAGGATATTGAAGATTGTTTAATAACACTCAGGCCTGTTATCTTAGTAGATTCACAGCTATGCCTGTACCAGATGTGATTACTATCTACTACAGTATCAAGGACCTACATGACAACACAAGCGCACAATTTGACAGTCTCCGGAATGATATTGGCTAGACTGCAATATTTGTCAAGTACGTTGATGTCATAATGAAATTCAGCTACCTAAGAGGCTTGCACTTTAAAGTTGAAAATGGAACAAAAACCCAAAGCCATTATTTAGCCAAGGTTGGATCCGAGTTTGAACAGGACAAAACCTTTTATTCCAAACTCTATAAATTCGAGCTCATGGTGAAAGGTTCGGAAACAAAGCTAACATCCTGGACATTGATAGGAAGACACTGCATAAACAAGAAGATGAACCGACTGAATGCTCTAAAGCGTACATTGTTGGATTAGATTATTTTGTACACTACATGTTCACCCTGGAGAAGGAAGCCGTCTCAGCATAGTTGAAGTATCTGCCGATCACTGGTGATACAAAGAACATAGACGTCGTCAGTGAAACATTCAAAGACTACGTCACTGAACAGTGGATGTTGTACAACAAAAATGGTTGTGGCCCACTCCAGGCTGAGAGAAACTGTCTAATTGTTACTGCGAGAAGCCTTACCACAGCACTGACCGGCCTTCCCCCAAACAACTGTCGTGGGAGCCAGATTCCTCTCCATCTTACTTCCTAGATTCCTTCTTTCTAGGGAGATGTTCCTGGCCCCTGTGATTCTTCTTCCTCATTGATTGCTCTTTGGAGGTTTAGGCCGGGTAACTATAAAGCACATTGTGACAACTGCTGATATAAAAAGGGCTTTATAAAATACATGTGATTGATTGTGGATCAATCATGGTCCAGTTGTGGTCTAGTTGCGGTCAGAGTCCGTTGTAGAGCGGTCGACAGTGGGGTTCCAGTTTGTCCTCCAGCACAGCGTCTGGTCCACAGACCCAGGGATCCCCAGTGTCCCACTGCCACTTCACCAGCCTGGCAACATAACATACAGCATTAGAGAAGATAGAACACAAGATAACATAAGATATAAAATGAGATAAACACCCCAAGGGGAAAATGGTTTGGCTTTCTCAAAGTCTTCCTGAAATCCTGTTTGAAGGATTCCAGATTTCCTGCTTATTCCATCCTGATTCTGGGAATCTTCCAACCCGGATTTTTGGAAAACCTGGGAATTTTGGGAAAGTTACCGGAATTTTGCAACCCTACATAATATCCATATCGATATACAATAATCCATCCATAATATCCCTATCCATATAGAACAGTAATACTAACCTGTCTCTGAGGCTCTCCAGGACCGTGGCGTGAGCCGGGTCCCCAGCCAGGTTCACAGTCTCCTCTGGGTCCGACCGCAAGTCAAACAGCTCCCAGCGGTCCCTGTAGTAGTCATAGAAATATAATGAATTGCCGGGGTTAGAGGTTCCAAGCCCGTTCTATTCATTATATTTCTATGGTAGTAGTATCATAGATATAGAACCCTTTATTTTATATTGTATAGCTTTTATATCGTTTATAGACTCCTATGCTTTATATTGTATAGTGTTTTATATTGTATATAGAATCCTATGGTTTATATTATATAGTTTTTATATTGTATAGATTAATTTCTACGGTAATGAAGATAGTATAACAACAGTAGTACCGCTACATAATAAAGTATAATTAAGCAAATAATGCCCAAGGCTGTGTGGTATATTGGCCTTATACTACAAACCCCTGAGGTGCCTGATTGCTATTAGAAACTGGTGACCAACATAAATAGAACAGTAAACAAGTATTTTTGCGTCATACCCGTGGTATATTGTCTGATATACAGTGCATTCATAAAGTATTTACACCCCTTGACTTTTTCCACATTTTGTTACGTTACAGCCTTATTCTCAAATGGATAAAAATAAATAAATAAACGTCATCAATCTACACACAATACCTCCTAATGACAAAGCGAAAACAGGTTTTAAGAAATTTGTGATTGAAGAAAAACAGAAATACCTTATTTACATAAGTATTCAGACCCTTTGCTATGTGACTCGAAATTGAGCTCAGGTGCATCCTGTTTCCATTGATCATCCTTGAGATGTTTCGACAACCTGATTGGAGTCCACCTGTGGTAAATTCAATTGATTGGACATGATTTGGAAAGGCACACACCTGTCTATATAAGGTCCCACAGTTGACAGTGCATGTCAGAGCATAAACCAAGTCATGACGTCGAAGGAATTGTCCGTAGAGCTCCGAGACAGGATTGTGTTGAGGCACAGATCTGGGGAAGGGTACCAAAACATTTCTGCAGCATTGAAGGTCCCCAAGAACACAGTGGCCTCCATCATTCTTAAATGGAAGAAGTTTGGAACCACAAAGACTCTTCCTAGAGCTGGCCGCCCGGCTAAACTGAGAAATCGGGGGAGAAGGGCCTTGGTCAGGGAGGTGACCAAGAACCCAATGGTCACTCTGACAGAGCTCCAGAGTTCCTTTGTGGAGATAGGAGAACCTTCCAGAAGGACAACCATCTCTGCAGCACTCCGCCAATCAGGCCTTTATGGTAGAGTGGCCAGACGGAAGCCACTTCTCAGTAAAAGGCACATGACAGCCCGCTTGGAGTTTGCCAAAAGGCATCTAAAGACTCTCAGACCATGAGAAACAAGATTCTCTGGTCTGATAAAACCAAGGTTGAACTCTTTGGCCTGAATGCCAAGCGTCTGGAGGAAACCTGGCACCATCCCTACGGTGAAGCATGGAGGTGGCAGCATCATGCTGTGGGGATGTTTTTCCGGGGAGGGGACTGGGAGACTAGTCAGGATTTAGGGAAGGATGAACGGAGCAAAGTACAGAGAGATCCAGAGCGCTCAGGACCTCAGACTGGGGCGAAGGTTCACCTTCCAACAGGACAACGACCCTAAGCACACAGCCAAGACAACGCAGGAGTGGCTTCGGGACAAGTCTCTGAATGATCTTGAGTGGCCCAGCCAGAGCCCGGACTTGAACCCGTTCGAACATCTCTGGTGAGACCTGAAAATAGCTGTGCAGCGACGCTCCCCATCCAACCGGACAGAACTTCAGAGGATCTGCAGAAAAATGGGAGAAACTCCCCAAATACAGGTGTGCCAAGCTTGTAGCGTCATACCCAAGAAGACTCGAGGCTGTAATCGCTACCAAAGGTGCTTCAAGAAAGTACTGAGTAAAGGGTCTGAATACTAATGTAAATGTGAAATTTCAGTTTTGTATTTTTAATACATTTGCAAACATTTCTAAAAACCTGTTTTTGCTTTGTCATCATGGGGTATTGTGTGTAGATTGATGAGGGGAAAAAAACAATTTAATCAATTTTAGAATAAGGCTGTAACGTAACAAAATGTGTAAAAAGTCAAAGGGTCTGAATAATTTCCAAATGCACTGTATATACGGCTAAAATGTTGTTTCAGCTCCTGACTCCGAACCACACGTTCCACCTCAGCGACAGAGTTTCTACACTCCTCTCTATGTCTATCTCCCTATCTGTAATTACATCTGTCCTGTCAAAACTCAATCAAATACATAAAGGGTTCTCCTCAAAAAAAAAAGTACCTGTAGTAGTATTGTTGTAGGGTCCTGAACCAGCCTGTGGGCCGCCCGGCCAGGGTGTTATTCAGGTATATACTAGTGTATAATATAGTATAATAGTATATAATACAGTATAATATAGTATAATAGTGTGTAATACAGTATAATATAATTGTGTATAATATAGTATAATAGTGTATAATATGGTATAATATAGTATAATAGTGAATAATACAGTATAATTAGTGTACAAATATATCTACTCGTGTTCTATTCGTTCTCGTCTCATCGTGTCTCTATCGTCTCATCGTGCCTCTACAGTTCCATCTCCTCGTGTCTCCTCTGTTCTCGTGTCTCTCTCGTCTCCTCTCGTGTGTCTCATATCGTTCCTGTGTCTACCTTGTGTGTCTAACTTCGTTATCGTGTATGTAATAGTATTATAACAGTACCTGTAGTAGTATTGTTGCAGGGTCTTGAACCAGCCTGTGGGCCGCCCGGCCAGGGTGTTATTCAGCAGGTCCTGGAAGGTTGGAGAGACATAGAAGTCCTGGTCTATGGGGAATGGCATGCGGTAGTGGAGGTTGTGGAGCAGGCGGTACGCCCCCTGGTGGATGGAGCGGATAGGGTAGTACATGGTCACCTCGTGGAGAGACTGGCTGCCGTAGACAGTCGGGGAGAACAAAGAAGTCATAAATACAGCAATAATCCAAAGTACAGTGTAGTAATGAGTAATTACAATACTTGTCACACTGAAATTACAGGAATAATAATTAAACAGTAATAAGGGCACTGTAATGTAAAGTGTTACCTAATACATACAAAGAAAGAAAGAAAGAAAATCACTCTATGGGCCAGTTTCCCGGACACAGATTATAACTAGTCCTGAACTAAAAAGCATTCTCAATGGAGAATCTGCATAGAACATGCTTTGTAGTCCAGGACTACAGTAGGCGTAATCACTGTGTCTGGGAAACAACCCTATATATACTTCCAGTGGTTTACTGGATATAACACCAACATCTAACACACAGTGCCTTCCTTCCTTTGTACCTGGCATAGACAGTGTGCCAGACGGAGGGTGAGGGTTCGGAGACGAGGGCAGGGAGGAGAGAGCGCCCTGTGAGGCTGACAGGGGTGGTAGGGGTGCCCGGGAGGCAGTATGAGGGGTACGGGATGGAGAACCAGTCCAGGATGGTGGGGGTGATGTCTGGAGGGAGGTCGGTAGGGAGGTAGGGAGAGAGAGAAATGGTTAGGTTCTATCACAATTGATCTTCCTGTGATTCCTCACGTCCAATATCCTCGCCTCCTTAAAGCACATTGGAGGAGAACATTCAAGGTTCTCCCCCTCTGACCTTCTCCACCAATGGGTTTTGAGAAGGAGGCGAGGAGAGAGGATGTGAGGAATCGCAGAAAGGCAAATTGAGATTTAAAAATAGTGGTTCAATTACTTTACAAATCCTTCCTTCCTCCTTTCCTTGAGGTGATCTCCCTAACATATACTGTAGCAGTGTAGTTATGTCTCCCCCCTATGGTACCATAGTGGTATTACACACCTGCATCAAGAAATACATCCACACATTAATTTGTTCATTAATTCATTATGTCCAGCTATTATCAGTCAATCCATCAATACCTTCTCCCCCCTCCCTTCCCCCTCCCTCCTCCACCCCCCCCCCCTCTCCCTCCCTCCCTCCCTCTCACCCAGTAAGCTGACGTAGGCCTGGCTGGTCCCTCCCCATCTCTCCCTGTGTTCAGGTGATGACACCAACATGGGTTCTGCGGTGCCTGATCCGTACAGGTTGGTGCGTCCGTTGGGGAAAGGGATACCGTTATCAGAGCTGTAGATCACCATGGTGTCATCCTCATAACCAGCCTCCCTCAACTCAGCCAGCACCAGACCAATACCTAGGGAAGACAGTAGAGGATACGTTGTGAACAGAGTGCCCCATGGTGGTGGTGGGGTTATGGTATGGGCAGGCATAAGTTGCGGACAACCAACACAATTGTATTTTATTGATGGCAATTTGAATGCACAGATATACCCTGATGAAAAAGGACCTGGCGCCGACGAAGATGGCGGCCTCGCGACTAGCTCTTAGGAAACTTTGCAGTATTTTGTTTTTTTATGTATTATTTTTTACATTATTAGCTCAGAAAGTGTTTTGTATCATTACATACAGCATTGCTTGTCCATATATGTATATTTTCTTAAATTCCATTCCTTACTAGTTTTGTGTGTATTGGGTATATGTTGTGAAATTGTTAGATATTACTTGTTAGATATTACTGCACTGTCGGAGCTAGAAGCACAAGCATTTCGCTACACCCGCTATAACATCTGCTAAACAAGTGTATGTGACAAATAAAATTGTATTTGATTTTATTTGATGAGATCCTGAGGCCCATTGTGAGGCCCATTTTTTTAAAGGTATCTGTGACCAACAGATGCATATCTGTATTCCCAGTCATGTGAAATCCATAGGTTAGGGCATAATTAATGTATTTAAATTGACTGATTTCCTTGTATGAACTGTAACTCAGTAAAATCTTTCAAATTGTTGCATGTTGCGTTTATATTTTTGTTCAATATAGTATGTGAAATTTCGAAAATAGTACTCTGAATGTGTCATCTAATGCGCGATTGCGTTAACTCCCGCCATTAGTTCATTTTGGTACAGTGCGTCAATTTATCTGATTATCAGCTGTTGTCAAACACGTGAGTCGGAAAATACGAGTGAATTCTACTAGATCAAACGCCGAAATGAGTATGCAGTTTAAGTATGTAGTACACTAGTATGGGTATTCGGACACGGCCACGGATGGATTTTTGGTGTAGAACCAGACTAATACCTACAGCGGAGAAGTGTACTAGTCATGTATTAGCTATGTAATGAATAGATTTAAAACGTGTGTGTGTGTGTTCTTGCATGCATGTGTGTGTGTCGGTGTGTGTGTGTTCCTCTCTATTCATGTCGGTGTGTGTGTGTGTTCTTCCTCCCCTTACCCTGGTCCAGTCTGCTAACTGTAGTGTACTGGGCAGACAGATCAGCTCTCGCTACAGGGGTGTCTGGGACGAAGTGGGGCACCTGGGTAAATACAACAAATTGAGTTTTATATTACAGTGAGGGAAAAAAGTATTTGATCCCCTGCTGATTTTGTAAGTTTGCCCACTGACAAAGAAATTATCAGTCTATAATTTTAATGGTAGGTTTATTTGAACAGTGAGAGACAGAATAACAACAACAAAAATCCAGAAAAACACATGTCAAAAATGTTATAAATTGATTTGCATTTTAATGAGGGAAATAAGTATTTGATCCCCTCTCAATCAGAAAGATTTCTGGCTCCCAG